TATCCCGAGAGGAGAAAGGAGGAGAAGGGATTGCGACGTGGCCATCCCCCCTACGGGGTGATTTCTCACTTTCTGTCTCTCTGTCTTCCTGGTGGGCATACATGCCCTATAGCAAAAACCTCTCCCCCCCAAAAAAAAAAGAATGACAAGTGACAGCCAACACCAAGTGCTTTCTGTGTATTAACTTCTTTAATTCTCAGCACAACCCCATGGGAGAGGTATTATTATTAGCAACTCATCTGACAGATGAGGACACTGAAGCACAGGAAAAATAAAGGAACTTGCCCAAAGTCTTATAGCTGGGAAATGACAGAATCAGTATTTAAACCCAGCTTCTGGATTCTTTTTTTTTTGGAGAGGTTTTTGCTATAGAGTGCATGCGCTCGCCAGGAAGATACAGACAGAAAGAGACAGAAAGCGAGAAATCACCCCCCAGGAGTGATGGCCACACCACAATCCCTTCGCCTCCGTTCTCCTCTCAGGATCTTGGGCACACATGCACATGCACCCGGCGCAAGTTTAAGTCACCAGGTTCAGGACTTAAACTGCTGTCAACTGCATGGGAGTCCAGTGACATAGCCATTATGCCAACTTCTGGTCCCCAGCCTCTAGATTCTTAACCCATACTCTGTACAGCTTACATGTTATAACACTACCTTCTCACCAGAAGTGATGTGTTACTACTGCCCTTTGTCTGTCAGCCCAGGATGGGGTTTAGGGCTTTTTGAGTCTAAAACAAGGGACAGGTTGTTAAGGGAGGTGGTTAATACAGGGACTTCGGGACTAGCAGGTGGCCTGGTCATTAAGGCGCTGGACACCCACATGGCTAAACACAGTTCGAGTCTTGGACCTGGCAGTTTGCTTTCTCACTTTCCCTTTATCTCTCTGTCTCTATGGTGAGAGCACATGCCCTATAGTAAATTAAAAAATAATAATAAGAGGCTGGCAAGTGGCATGGTGGTAAAGGGTGCTGGACTCCCACATGACTAACCATGGTTTGAGTTCTGGACCTGGCAGCTTGCTTTCTCACTTTCTCTATCTTTCGCTCTTTCTATTGCTCTGTCCCTCTCTGCTCAAATTAAAATAAATAAATACATAAAAAATAAAGTTAAATAATTATTGAAAAATATATAATGATAAAAAGAAATAAAATTAAATAATTATTAAAAAAAAAACAGAGGGATGGTGTAATAGTTAGATGGTGTAATAGTTACGTCACTGGACTCTCATATAGTCGACTGCAGTTTGAGTCCCAGACCTGGTGACTTAAAACTCACACTGGAAGCGAGTGTGTGTGTGTGTGTGTGTGTGTGTGTATGTGCGCCCAAGATCCCAAGAGGAGACTGGAAGAGAAGAGATTGCAGCATGGCCTTCCTCCCTTGGGCAAGTGATTTCTCACTTTCTATCTCTCTGTCTCTCTGGTGAGTGCACGCACACTATAGCAAAATCTTTCTAAAAAAAAAACAAGCAAACAAACAAACAAAAAAACCACAAATACTTTCTCATGAGAGCATTTAAAAAATCATTAATTACAAATAAAATTATATGGTTCAACCTCCTCAACCATAAAAGGTCTCAAGAGGAGAATGGAGGAGAAGAGATTGCTGTGTGGGCATCCCCCCTAGGACAGTGACTTCTCACTTTCTGTCTCTCTGTCTCTCCCATGAACACACATGCCCTATAGCAAAAATCTCAAATAAGTAAATAAAACAGGGGCTGCAAACCTAACGCCTAGGGAGTATGAAGCATACAGTCATAAGACAATAGGGCACAAGAAGAACAAAAACACCTGATAGAAATGGCTGAGAAGGAATGCCTGGAGTACCAACAGCAGAAACAGGAAGCAGAAGACTTGGCTGGAGGCAGAGGAGCAGAGGCACAAGGAAGAGCCAGCAAAGCTGACTCTGGAGGAAGCCTCGAAACTAGCCCAGGAACAAGCCAGGCAAAAAGCTGCTTTGGAGAAACATCCTCATTTTCAGCAAGAACTCCATAAGGAAGCCAGGGGCCTGCACACACAACAGTTCCAGATCATGGGTTTCCTTTTTTTTGGAGAGGTTTTTGCTATAGGGCACATGTGCTGGCCAGAGAGACAGAGAGAGACAAAAGAGACAGAAAGCGAGATAGCACCCCCCAGAGAGGATGGCCACACTGCAATCCCTTCTCCTCCATTCTCCTCTCAGGATCTTGGGCATACACGCATACACGCCTGGCGTGAGTTTAAGCTACCAGGTCTGGGACTCGAACCGTGGTCAACTACATGGGAGTTCAGCAACATAGCCATTGCACTAACTGCTGGTCCCCATGAATTTACTCTTATTTCCAGTTCCTACAAATATCCAGCCCTTAAAGCTAGAAAAAAAACTAAAAAGAAATGAACCTCTACAAGTCAGAAATTGAGCTTAATTTGGATCCTGTATTGTAGTGCTACTGGAGTTAGTGGGAATTGATGCTCATTTTAACTCCTTAACATAGATGTAAACAGAAATAAAATGGCTAAACCACTGGAAAAAAAATTTAAAAAGACAACAGGGCACAGTGGAGACAGAGGTGAAATGGGGAGTTTGTGGCCTTCTAGAGCTACCTGGTCTTTGCTGCTTCTCAGCTCCAGAAGGGTGTTGCTAGGACAAAAAACAGGCTCAGACTTGACTTTCCAACATAAGCCACAAGTCTGAATGTTTAATAAAGTGCAATCTCCCAGTTTTGTAAGTGGTGACAATTAAAATTAAACTTTTCTTCCCCCCCAAACAATGTGCTAGCCAAAGATGTCCATTGGCTGAAAAAATGCAGCTCACAGGCCACTAGCTTGCAGCCTCTGGTCTGAGACATAAGACATTTCCTTTTTTCCTTCCAGTTCCCTCTCTCTCCTCTCCAGAACTCCATCTCCTTTCTTACTCTTCCTTTTCCTCTTCTCCTTCCTGTCCTTTCTGTCCCCACCTTGAGCATTTGTTCCAGCCACTTACCTGCTGGTCATTGGTCTGGTAGTTCTGGCTGAGAGAATAGGAGTAGCCCACCCCAGCAGGGGACTCCAGATACAGAACGTTGGCCACCAGGTTCCAGCTATGGGGGTTCAGGTAGAGTGATCCATCAGCATTTATCTGCAAAGACAAGATAGATGTGCAGGTGTCCTTAGGGCTGTAAGGGCATCTGTGGAACTGAACGCGGTGTTCGTGGGGCCTCTTGCTGGTGCCTCTGAGCAACATGGTGGCCAGGGAGAAGCAGTGTAGATGCTCTAGTCAGGGAGCAGATGGCAAGACAAGCCTTCTTTCTTTTATTTATTTTTTAAGTTTTTTTTTTTTTTCCCATAGGGCATGTGCACTCAACAGAGAGAGAGAGAGAGAGAGACAGAGGGAAAATGAGAAACCATCCCCCCCAGGGGGATGGCCACACCATAATTCCTTCTTCTCCATTCTCCTCCCAGGATCTTGGGTATGCAGGCACATGTGCCCGGCGTGATTTCCAAGCCACCATGTCCAGGACTTGAACTGTTGTTGACCATGTGGGAACTCGCTTTAACCTCCCTGCTACCTGTTAACCCCAAGCCCTCTTTCATTTAATCTCTCCAAAACCTACGCTAAGGAGAACTTTTCCGCTGCCTGAGGAGCAGAGCAGATTCCCACTTAAAGTTAACTATAAGATGAAAGGGTTTCTTCTTGAGCTTTACCCACAACTGCTCCTCCTGCCCTGTTCTTTCCTAGGCACTTGAGAGAGGTGCATTGTGGAAAGATAGTTTATCTGCAAGGTACTATTCTAGGTACTCTGTGTGAATTACCTCCCTGCTTTTCACAACGAACAGCCTTTTAATTGGTTCTATTTTATTATTCCCATTTCTCAGACAAGAAAACTGACAGGATTATTTGCACAAGTTCACATAGCTAGTATATGACAGAACCAACACTTGAATAAATCGGCCTATTCCAGGGTACTCATCAGGTTAAACATTGTTCCTTACATGATCTACATCTTTAAGACTTTTTATTATATTTTATTTTATTTATTATTATTCTTCAATTTGAGAGAGACAGAGAGAAAGAGCAAGCCGCCAGGTCCAGGATTTGAACCATGGTCAGTCACATAGGATTCTAGCGCCTTAACCACCACGCCACTTGCCAGCCCCTACATGATCTGCATCTTTACAACATTAGTTTTGTTACTGCCCATTTGACAGATGAGGAACCAAAGGCCTGCAGAGGCCCTGTCACGGACCCAAACTTCCACAAGTAAGAGGTGTTGGAGAAGAGCCTGCATGGCCTTTGATTCATCCAAACTTGTGAACTGATTCTGAAGCTTTAGTATTGCCAGGATGGTTTTCTTTCCATGGGATTTTACTAACCCTGTCCTAAAAGACCCACAAGGCAGGACCAGCGAATGATATCATGGTTCCATCACTAGTCTCCCACATAGTTGACCACGGTTTGAATCCTGGACCCCACAGCTTAAAACTCATGCTGGGTGCATGTGCATGCATGCCCAAGATCCCAAGAGGAGAATGGAGGAGAAAGGATTGCAGCATGGCCATCTCCCCTGGGGGATGATTTCTAGCTTTCTGTCTCTCTTTTTGTCTCTCCAGTGAGTGTATATGACCTATAACAAAAATCTCTCTCTAAAAAAATGAACAAATAAATCCACAAGGCAATTAATTGGTGAAAACCCTGGGACCCAGAGGGCAGGAATAAGTGCCAAGTTGACACCATTGATGACCAGGTCTTGTGAGTCCAAGTCCTATGTCCTTCCTGCCACACCAAGTTGCTAATTTTCTACTGCCCTCCCAAGTGTCTGGCTCTGAGGCCTAAATCTGCCTTGCCCCCAGTCCTTGCTGTCTGGCACTTGGTTGAGCAGAGCAGCTCAGGGGCCCTTGCCATAGTTCTGGTTTGTAACATCAAGGTAAAAGTCGGCCAGATGGCTTTCCTCCCTCTTGCCACATCCAACACTGCTGTCAGGAAGCCCCCACCTTACCCGATATGGCCCGTTCTCAGCCAGCATTCCCTCCATGGAGCTACAGCCGGGACCACCATTCAGCCAGAGCACCAGAGGGTCCGAGGAGGGGTCCCCCTGGGACTCTACAAACCTGTGGGAGCAAGAGAAAGAGGTCCTTTGGCAGTATGTCCCAGGGAAGCCAGTAAGGCCAGCATCATGGGCGTGTGACCTGTGCAGTCACACAGGACCCTGTGTTTAAATGGCCCCTGCTCTTGGTTTAATGCTTTTGAAAATCTTAATAACTTTTGAACAAAAGCCCTATAATTTATGCAGCTAGTCTTGTGGCCAAGAAACTGCCTAGTTGCAGTTGCTCCCTCCTTCATGGGAGGCCGATGTTGACACACAAATCCTCACTGAGGACCACTCTGCCTCAGTTCTTGCAGCTGGTGTCTGGCCTGACTTCCGCCCCCCCCAGTCATCTGTGATGGGTTGAAGGTTGTGGGTGGGGGTGTCTCAATAGTGAGCTCCAACTGGAGCTATCGGGTTCCCGTAGAGTCAGAAAAACTCAGCAGTCACTTTGCACTGTAAAGGAAGGGAATGCTAGGCCCAGAGAGGGAAAGTGAGTTTGCATAGCACATAGGTGTTTAGCCTAACAGAGCGGCTCTTTCCTTACTTTGAGGTCAAGCAAGCAGTGAAGAGAAGGAGAGCTCATTTAGTATTAGACTAAGGCTTAGAAGGCATCTGTCAACTTAACTAAACTATGTGGCATTAGGGTTAGCTCCTGGCAGGTAGGATCACTGCATGCTGGGATTCAATCAAAGCAGCAAGGTCCAGGCAAACTGGAACGTAAGAGTTTTCTTTACAAAGAAAGAAAGAACAGGGCCAGCAGGTAGCACGAAGGTTAAGGCACTGGATCCCACATGGCTGTCTTAGAGGTTTGAGTCCTAGATCTAGCAGCTTGAAAATCACTGCCAAGCTGGGACCAGCAGATCGTGTAATGGTCAGTTCATTGGACTCCCACATAGTTGACTGTAGTTTGAGTCCCAGACCCAACGGCTTAAAACTCACACTGGGCATGTGTGTGTGTATGCCCAAAATCCGGAGAGGAGAATGGAGGAGAAGGGATTGCAGTGTGGCCATCCCCCTGGAGAATGATTTCTCACTTTCTGTCTCTGTCTCTCAGGCTAGCACATGCACCCTATACCAAAAAAATTCTCTAAAAAAAAAAAAAAAAAGAAAAGAAAATCATGCTGGGCACATGTGTGTGCCCAAAATCCCGAGAGGAGAATGTAGGAGAAGGGATTGCTGCATGACCATCGTCCCTGGGGGATGGTTTCTCATTCTCTCTCTCTTTCTCTCATCTCCAGTGAATGCACAAGCCCTATAGTAAACAAAAAGAAAGAAAGAAAGAAAGAAAGGAAGGAAGAAAGAAAAGAAAGAAAGAAAGAAAGAAAGGAAGGAAGAAAGAAAAGAAAGAAAGAAAGAAAGAAAGGAAGGAAGAAAGAAAAGAAAGAAAGAAAGAAAGAAAGAGAGAGAGAGAGAGAGGGAGGGCGGGAGGGAGGGAGGGAGGGAGGAAAGAAGGAAGGAAGGAAAGAAGGAAAGGAAAGAACGAACGAACGAGCCAATCCTATGGCTTAGTGATTAAGGGAGTCAGATGACCAATCATGTGGTACAAATCTTGGCCATAACAGCTTGAAAGACCTGGTGTGTGTGTGTGTGTGTGTGTGTTTGTACGTACCCTAAATCTTGATGGAATGGAGAAATGAAAGAGAAGATTGTAGCATGACCATACCCACTGGGGATGCTCTCTCTCTCCTCCTCTCTCTCTGTCTCTTGTCTTTCTCTGGCAAGCACCACACCCTGTGGCTTATAAACAAACAAAAAGAAAAAAAAAAAAAGGAGAGAGACAAGATTAAAAATCTAAACAAATGGAAATGGACACAATGGTACACACAATGGTACCCAGCTCTTTGAGAGGAAGATAATGAGTTCAAGGCTGTGCTGGGCAACAGGAAGACCCTTCTAAAATTTTTTAAAAATACACTTTATGTATGTGTGTGTGTGTGTGTGTGTGCAGACCAAACTTGATTACCCAGCAGAACAGCTTGGCAGGATGGTTTTGGTAGAGCAGTGTGTTCTGGCAGCCACACCTGCTGGGCACACACCCTGGGCCAGGCCCAGTGCTGAGAACTTCCCAACACTGAACTCAGTTAATACATCCACCAAACCTGTCATTTTGTTTTTTTTTACTTTTTGCAGATGTAGAAAGTCAGATGCAGAGAGGTAAAGCCTCAGGCCTTCTTTGTGATTTCTTACATAATACCTTTAAAGCTCAGTGATGAAATAAAATAGTGCATGTAAACACAAGTGCCAAGTACATAGCACATGCTCAATATAGGTTAGTTATGTAAGATCCTAGGAGGGGACCAGCTGATGGAGAAGTGGTTACATCGTTGCCCCAAAACTAACATGTCTAAGACTAAAGCACTTCATTGGATGTAGCCACATAGTTGGCCACAGTTTGAGTCCTGAGCCCGGCAGCTTAAAACTCGTGCCTGGTGCGTGTGCATGCATGCCCAAGATTTCATGAGGAGAATGGAGGAGAAGAAATTGCAGCATGACCATCTTCCCTGGGGGCTGATTTCTTGCTTTCTGTTTCGCTGTCTCTCCAACAAGCACATGCACCCTATAGGAATCATCTCTTAAAAAAAAAAAAATCCTAGGGTAAAACTAGGATTCAAATTCAGATCTATCCAGCCCGACTCTGTAACCTAGTGGGACCAGCAGGTGGCATAACAGTTATGTCACTGGACTCCTACATAGAGGACCGCAGTTAGAGTCTTGGACCTGATGGCTTAAAACTCATGCTGGTTGTGTGTGTGTGTGTGTATGTGTGTGCCCAAAATCCCAAGAGGAGAATGCAAGAGAAGGGATTGCAGCATGGTCATCTTCTCTGGGGGTGATTTCTCACTTTCTATCTCTGTCTCTCCAGCGAGTGCACACCCCCTATAGTGTCTTTCTCTCTAGAAATATAAAAAGAGAGAGAGAGAGCCGGAACCCACATGGCTAATGGTGGTTCGAATCCCAGTGACTTGAAAAAACATGTTGGGTGCATGTGTGCATGCCCTAAGTCCCAATAGGGTGAAGGAAATGAGGAGAAGGGATTACTGCGTGATCACATCCCATGGTAGGGTGCTTTCTCCCTTTCTCTGTCTCTTTCTGACTCTTCTCTTTCTCTGGCTAGTATATATGCCCTCTGACAATTAAAAAGAATATTCAGACCTATCCAATTCCAATCCTGTGCTTTATTTAAATTATCGGGACTAGGATCAGCATGGCGGTTGGGGTGCTGGACATTCCCACATGGCCGGCCACGGTTTGAGTCTTGGACCTGTGGCCTGCTTTTTCACTTTCCTTCTCTCTGTGTGCCTGTCTTTCTCTGGTCAAATGAAAATGACTGAATGAATAAGTAAAATTAAATAAATAATTGTTACAAAAATAAATAAAATAAAAGAAATTGTAAGGACTGTCCTGGTGCCCAAACCTGTTCGGTTTAATTTGAGTTTACCTACAGCTCACAACTAGGCTTATTATTATTATTTTTTTTTGTCCTGAGCTTTCAACCTTTAGGAGTGAAAAGCAAATCTGCATGAAACAAATTAGGATTCAGAATTTAGTTTATGAAGGCAATTTCTCAGGAATAGTCTGTGGTTAGCACCCACTCTGGTCAGCTGCCAGAAGTTTCTCTGTCCTTAAGCTTACATGGGGGTGACATGTCACATGTACTTAAAAACAACTGTGGAGGCAAGAAAAAAAAATATGAAGTTCTTTGCCTGATCTTAGGTCAACATAGGAAGACTGAATTATTATCTGTAGGTTTTTTTCTGAAGAAGAAAGTCTTTCTAACACATTTTAGAATTACTGGGTGGTTGGAAAAGTCATGACATTTTTTCCTATGGAAATATGTCATGACTTTTCCATGGCCTAACATGTATTTTAAACATCAAGGGATACACAGTTTGAGGGATTAATGCTTGTAAACCAGGAATGCAGTTAAGCCGAATGGGTCATTGGTTCTGATTATTTGAGGTTCAGCTGGATTGGCACAGCACCCGGAAGCCCCTCTTATGCTAATACTCATGGTGCCGCAGGGTCCTGGCTCAAGAGAAGGTAGAGGCAGCTTCTCTCGGGGTCTCTGCTAATCACCAGCAGCCAGACAAGCAGGGAGGCTACTGGGGTCTGTGAACTACTAAGTTCATGGTGAAGCTGAGAGGCTACATTTGTCTCACCTCACTCCCTGCATGGCCCTGGCTAGTGTTTCTGGCCAGTCCCATTTCCTGTGTTGGCTCAAGGTTGATGGGACAGCTGGCTCTCTAGCTGACACCTGCTCATCTGCTGGCATTTGAGTCCCAGGGTGGATGCTAGGTTGCAGGAGAACAAGGAGGTGGGATGGAATTAGCTGACTTGGTTCAAGGTTAATTTCAGGTCTTTAAAACCCAGATGTTCAGGGCCAGCAGGTGGCATGGTGGTTAAGACACTAGACTCCCACATGGCCAACCGCAGTTCTAGTCCTGGATCCAAAGGCTTGAAACTCACTCCAGACACACATGCATGTGTGCACAAAATCCCAAGAGGAGAATGGAGAAGGAATTGCGGCATGGCCAGCCCTCTTGGGAGATTTCTCACTTTCTCTCTTTCTCTGTCTCTCTGGTAAGCACACACACCCTGTAACAAAAATCTCTCCAAAAATATATAAGAAAATTCTTTGAAAAGAAAAAAAAGATGTTCCTAGGGGCCAGACAGGGCACATACATGAGAAACATTGCCAGGTTGGAGCTAGAAAGCGGGAGTCCATTCAACTCTAGTCGATGTTTTCCAAACAGAGACAAGGACCAGTGCTGCTCAGGCATTCCAATATTTCAGAAAAGCCAGATACCTTGATACCTTGATTTTATGTAATAGCTCCTTTCTCCCCCTTACATTACCAAGCTGGCCTCAAATTTGCGATCTTTTTTTATTTTTCAAGAGAGATTTTTGCTATAAGGCATGTGTGCTCACCAGAGAGACAGAGAGAGAGAGAGACAGTGAGAAATCACCCCCCAGGAGGAATGGCTTGCACGCAGTTCCTTCTCCTTTATTCTCCTTTCGGGATTTTGTGCATGCATACACACATGCCCAGCATGTTTCAGGTTGCTGGGTCTGGGACTTGAACCATGGTCAGCCATGTGGGAGCCCAGCACCACAACCACCACACTGCCTCCTGGCCCCCAAACTTAGAATCTTATTGCCTCAATATGTACTACCATGCTTTGTTTGCTCTTATTTGATTTTTAGTTCAGTTTAGTTTGTTTTTTGGGTTTTTTCTTTTTTTTGAGAATTGTTTTTCTAGAATTATTTTTAAAATTTTATTTATTCACTCATTTATTTTAATTTAATGAGAGAGAGAGAGAAAAAGTAAGAAAGCAAGCTACCAGGTCCAGGACTCAAACTATGGTTGACCATGTGGGAGTGTTCAGGACCTTAACCACCATGGCACCTGCTGGTCCCCAAGTTTTTTTGTTTTGTTTTGTTGTTTGCTAGAGGACACATGCACTTGCCAGAGAGAGACAGAGAGAAACAGAGAGAGAAACACATTCCCCATGGGGAATGGTTACGCTGCCATCCCTTCTCCTCCATTTCTTCCTCTTTTTGAGATTTTGATCATGCACCCACACATGTGCCACATGTTTCTCAAGCCACCAGATCTGTGACTTGAACTACATAGTTGGCCATGGAGCCTTAACCCACTAAGAGCTGCCCAGTTCTTAGTTTTTAAATGCTTCTTTCTCCCTCCCCCACTTCCCTTCTTTTCTTCTTCCTCCTCTCTTCTTTCATCTCTGTCTGCCCTCTTCCTTCTTAGGTCTTTCTCTTCCTGTTTCAGGGTATCTATTTAAATTCTTAGGTTAAGGGACTGGAGAGGAAATGGCTGAAAACAATAGCCTGCCAGAACTGGGGGGAACTGTAGAATCTCACCCTCTCTTTCACAAAGGGCCCAGAAAACAGGAGAACCAGCTCAAAATCACCTATTGGGTTAGTGCAGGGCTCAGGCTTGATCTCAAAAGAGGATTTCAGTCACGAGATTGAGGTAGAAGGAGGAGGCTTTTGGCAGAGAGGCTAGTGTGAAAAGACCTTCTGGGCAGTGCCGGTGGGAACCCAGCTTTCCCTCTCAGGGACTGCACCAGCCCCAGACTTGGCTACCCTCCAGCTCTGTGGGGAGCCTCAGTTCTGAGAATGTGTGTTTTGCTTTGGGGGAATCTTGCCTTTTTACTATTTTTACTTTATTCATTTGCTTTTAGATTTATAGACAGGGTCTTGCATCACTGTCCTCATGTCTCATCCTTCTTGCTGGGACTACAGTTGTGCAACCATGCCTGGCTCTTTTTTAGACAAGGTCTGCTTGTGTTGCCCAGGCCAACCTCAAGCTCACAGTCCTCTTGTCTTAGCCTCTCCTAGTCACTGGGATTCGGGTGCATGCCACCACACCTGGTCTTTAAGTTGGACCAGGGTTCAAACCTGGGCCTTCCACGTGGTCCCAGACAATGGAACACAACGTCTGAACAGCGTGCACCACTGTGGCTTTTCCTCCTTTTTTTTTTTTTCCCCCTGTAATTTGCTGTAAGACAAACGTGCTTGCTGAGGAGAGGTGTGGTGAGAAAGCTTCTCATAGGGGATGGCTATGCTACAATCTTCCCTCCTCCGTTTTCATCTCAGGATTTTGGAGACCCATGCTCACATGTCCAGCATGTTTTTCTTTTTAGAGATTATTGCTGTGCACACTCACCAGAAGTGACAGGGAGACAAAAAGCAAGAAATCACTCCCCCAGGGGGGATGGGCATGCTACAATCCCTTCTTCCCCATTCTCTTCTTGGGTTTTTGGGCACACATGCACACGTGCCAAATGTGTTTCAAGTCACCAGGTCTAGTACTCGAACTATGGTTTGCCATGTGGGAGTCCAGTGATGTAACCATTATGCCATCTGCTGGTCCCATCTGGCCAAGGTGTTTTTCAAGCCACCAGGTCCAGGACTTTAACCAAGAAGTCGGCTATGTGAGGTCCAGTCACCTTAGACAGCACACTCCCTGCTGGCCCCACTTTGAATCTTTTTTTATTTTTATTGTTTTAGTTTTGCTTTAGGGTGGCATGTGCTTGCCAGAGAGAGAGAAAAAAAGGAAAAGTGAGAAGTCATCCCCAGGGGGAATAGCTTTGCTGCATTCTCTTCTCCTTTCTCCTCCTGGGATTTCGGCCACACACTCACATGTGAATTTTGGGTAGCAGGGTCTGGCACTCATACTGAGCAGTTGGCCATGTGGGAATCCAGCCACCTTAACCCCCACACCGCCTGCTGACTCCCTGTTACTCTTTTTAAGAGGGGGGAGGGTCTCAATGACCATTTTGCTCCTGCTTCTAGTGCAAGGAACCCTGACAGCTACAGAGAGAAGCGCCTATATTCTTTGGAGAATAGCTATGTGTATGCTCAGGTAATTTGTCTACAGCTGGTGGTTGTGATTCTCAGAACAAATGCATCTCCCTCTGATTTGAGCCCCTGGTGGCTATAGAGGTCCTTTACGCTGAGTCCAAGTGGATCTCACCCTAGTCCTTCTTGTCAGCTCCTCCTTTGTCCTTTCTCCATCTGCCTGGCCAAGTGTAAATACTATGGGACTCTGGGGGAGACAGCCAATCCCTGCTGGCCTTCACTCCTCTCTCCTCCCCAAAGTGCCTCCCTCACTCCCAGGTACTCACCAGTAGTGGAAGAACTTGTTCTCACCAGCCTGGAGGTAACCAGACCACTGTCGGAAGTTGAGCTGAGTAGTGAGGCCAGGCAGGGAGGTGACGAGGTCTGGGGCATACTGGCCAGAACCCACACCAAGGCACAGGCAGGAGATGACAAGGAGGATCCTGGGGAGCTCCATAGCCATAAGCGAGCTGGACTAAAGAGCTAGCATTCTCCCACAGGCCTCTTCAGGCTTCCTTTATGGGCCTGGGACTGTTTGTCCTGGTGATGGCCAGAGATAACCAAGAGCTCTAGGCTGGCATAGGGCAGGTAGCCAGGAGGGCTGGCACTCATGAAGAATGCTACTGTGATTTTTCCAGCCTCTCTCTACTTTGGCCAGGTGTCTGGCTCTGTGACAAGGGTGAGGAGGGGGTCATATTTTGGCAAAGAGCCAGGTGTCTGGCTCTGTGACAAGGGTAAGGGTGAGGAGGGGGTCATATTTTGGCAAAGTGGTACCCCAGAGGGCTTCTCAACTGGATCTATTCCAGAGCCATCAGTCCACCTTTTCTCATGACCAAGATGCTTCAGACACTCTAGAGACCTCTCCCAACCCAACGCACACACATAAAGATTGAACCTTAGCCTTCCATAATTCCAGTACTCCTTGGGTAATTTTCAAGGGTTGGTAAAAACTCTAAGTAACTGTCCCCCTTCCTGGTAAAAGGCCAGAACAGTGGATTGTTCTCCAGTGGTGCAAGGTAGTCTTTTCCTCTGAATGCTTTAAGGAATAACTTATGTATAATTTCACATGGAAAGGATACAAATTGTGGGCTGACCCCAAAGCATAGTGGTTAAGGCAACTGGATCCCATATGACTGAGCACAGTTCAAATCCCAGCCTCAGTGGCTTAAAAAAACACGAAAAGTACATGTGCATATATGCTCAAAATCTTGATAGGATGGAGAAATGGAGAAGAAGGGATTACAGCATGACCACACCTCACTGAGAGATTCTCTCTCTCTCTCTCATGAGTGCACAAGCCCTTTGGCAATTAAAAAATAAAAAAGTATACAGAGCCAGTTCATGGCCAGGGGATTAAAGCAGGTGATTGGTCATGTGGGATCCACATGACCAACTGTGCATTTTGAGTCCCAGACCAGCAATTTGAAAAATACAACAAGCGTGTGTGCATGAATGGTCAAAATCCAAAAGGAGGGAGAAATTGAAGGACCAGAGCGACTCCATTTTTTTATGGGGCAACTCCATCTTATGAAACCCACCTTGCTGAGAATTGGCACCATTTCAAGGAAGGGAGCTGATTACGGAGGAGTAAGTCATAAAACCATCACCCCAATGATAAAAAACAAAACAAAGGAAATACCAGAGACCTGAAGTAACTTTCTTGCCAATCAGTAAAAGGCAACTATGCTTCTTGTAATCTACAGCCAATGTATAGCCGCCTGAGGGCATTCCTCAGCACCCCTCAACCTCCCCCCCAACAGCCAAATAAAAACCCAGCCCAACTAACATGCGGGGCTCTCAACTCTGACCTGCTGTGCTGGTGAGATTGAGAGTCCTGGCTTGAGCCTGAATAAAATCAACCCTCATGTGCTTACATCGGAATCAGCTCCTTGGTGGTCTTTTGGGAATTCGCAGCCCAAGTACAACAAAAAGAGATGGAATTGCTGCCTGATCATACCTCATGGGACTGCTTTCTCACTTTCTCTCTCACTGACAATTTTTTTTTTTTTTAGAGGTTTTTGCTATAGGGCGCATGCTCTCACCAGAAAGACAGAATGAGACAGACCAAAAGTGAGAAATCACCCTCCAGGGGGATGACCACTCTGTAATCACTTCTCCTCCATTTTTCTCTCGGGATCTTGGGTACGTACGCATGCACACACGCCCGGCGTGAGTTTAAGTAACCAGGTCTGGGACTCGAACCGCAGTCGACTACATGGAAGTCCAGCGACATAGCCATTACGCCATGTGCTGGTCCCAAAAAAATTTTTTCAAAAACAAAGAAAAAGTATACAAATAATAAATGTACAGTTTAATCAATTTTCTTGTAAAGAACACAAATGTATAACCACCACCTAGAGGAAAAAATAGAGCATTATCTGCACCCCAGAAATTTCTGTGTCTTCTAGTCATTGCTCCCATCTCCTTCCCCAAAGTAACCACTATCCTGACTTTTTTTTTTTTTTGAGTGGAGAGTTTATTGAAGGAGAGGGTAGGAAAAACAGAGCTCCCAAGAAGGGAAAGATCCCAGAAAATGGGTTGCTCCTGACTTCTAACACCATAGGTCAGCTGATTTCACCTTTTTTTTATGCTAGAAGGTATGCATGGGTGCACGAGAGAGAGAGAGAGACAGAGACAGATAGATGGAGAAACAAAAAGAGAGAGAGGAAAGCACCCCCCCCCCCCCCCCCCCGCTGCCTTGAAGCCTGGGCGTATCACAATCCTTTATCCTGCAATTCTCCATCTTATCAGAATACTGGGCATGAGCGAGTGTGCGGTGTGTTTTCAAGCCGACAGACAGGGTTAGGACTTGAACCCTAGTTGGCCATGTGGGATCTGTCTTTCTCTGTGTAGCTCCTAACTGCTGCATGGTGATGCAAGCTCCTGTCTTGGCTACTTTTAAACCACATACCACTCGCAATCATGTTTTTGTTTTGTTTTGTTTTTGTTTTTGCCAGAGAGTGTGTGTACTCACCAGAGAGAACAGAGACAGAGAGAGAGAGAGAGAGGGAGAGGTTTGTAACACTGTCTAATGAGGTGTGGTCATGCCCCAATCCCTTCTTCATTTTTCCATTTTGTTGGGATTTGAGGCATGGATGCACATGCAACTGGCGTGGGGTTTTTTGGTTTGTTTGTTTGTTTCATTTTGTTTTGTTTTGTTACAAACAGTCATTTTTATTCATTAATAAACTAAAAGTCTACTTCCAGATGATTCTTTCTCATGTATCCTGCATGCTTTACTTAGTAAGCAAAGCCCGGTAAGTCGAGGCTTCAACTAATCCTCAGACTCTGACCCTTCTTCATCTTGACTAACCTGGAAGTAACGAACTTCTTAAGTCTCCTTGTCAGATGCAACCACACAAAGCCAATCACGAAGGTTGTTTTTCTTAAGGTATTTCTTGGTGAGGTATTTCAGATACCTTTTAGAGAACTGTTTCTTGGAAACAACTGTAATTTTATTCTTGAGGCGTTCAATGTGAACTACATTTCCAAGGTTGCCAGTTTTCCCATTGACTTTAACCTTTTCCTGCAGAAACTGTTGGAAATTTCCAGAGTCAAAAATTCTGTCTCCTACTGGATGAGTAAGGTCAAAATTAAACTTCCAGGTTGACCTCTTAGGCTTCTTGTCTTTCTGTGGCGCCATCTTGGTAGCCAGTCGTGCAGTCAGAAATGTTTTTTAAGCCACTGGAGCTTCCTTAACCACTAGGCTATGGGGTGTGTCCAGTAGTATGTGTATGTTTTTTGTTTTTGTTTTAACTGTCCTTTTCTTTTTCTTTTATACATTTTTAATTGTTTTTTTGGAAGAGGTTTTTGCTATAGGGCATGTGCACTCGCCAGAAAGAGAGAGACAGAGAGACAGTGAGAAATCACCCCCCCAGGGGGTTGGCCATGCTGCAATCCCTTCTCCTCCTTTGGTCAACTATATGGGAGTCCAGTGACATAGCCATTACGCCAACTGCTGGTCCCATATAAATTTTGACAGAAGGCGTGTGTGCTCTCTGGAGAGAGACAGAGACAGAGGAAAAGTGGTCACGCCACTACAATCCCTTCTCTGTCTCTTCCTCCTTTTGGGATTATAGGCACTCAGGCATAGGTGCTTGGCATATATTTCTTTTTCTTAGGCATGTGCACCTGCTTGAGAGACAGAGAGAGAGAGAAAAGGAATGTGAGAAATCATCCTGTTCTTGGGGGTCAGGGGGGATGACCATGCTACAACCCTTTCTCCTCCACTTTCCTCTCAGGATTTTGGGCATGCATACACATGAACATGCACTCAACATTTTTCAAGCCCCTGGGTCTGGGACTCAAACCATGGGGTCGACCATGTGGGATCCAACCACCTTAACCTCCATACCACCCGTAATCTGCTGACTTGGTGATTAGTCTTTTTTTATATATATTTTATTTAACTTTATTTATTCATTTCTTAAAATTTGTCCAGAAAGGGACAAAATGAGAGAGAGGGGGAAAGTGAGAAGGCAAGCCACCAAGATTGAGACTCAAACCACAGCTGGCCATGTGGGAGTGCAGCGCCCTTAACTACCATGCTACCCGCCAGCCCCGGTGATCAGCCTAATAGCTTAATTTATCATTCTTTTCCTTATGGTTAGTGCTTTTTCTTACTTAAGAAATATTTGCCTACCTTAAGGCCAAGAGTGATCTTGTTATCATCCATAAACTTTACCATTCACTTTTTATGATTAAATCAATATGTGTCTGTTAATCATAATTTGATTGCAATTCAAATCCACATGGACTTACTCTGTATGTATGATATGAAGGGATGAGTTAAAACTCTTTTCTTTCCCTGACTGGATAAGTACACTTTGAGAGTGCATGGTACGGAGTGGTCTTTGAGTTCCCAGCTCTGGGTTCTAGTTTAGCGCTGCAGTTGACTTACTTTATGACCTTGAGCAAGTTCTTTTTCCTCACAGGGCCTCAGTGTCTTTTTTTTTAAAAAAGAATTATTTAGTTTGGGGACTGGCAGGTAGCGTGGTGGTTAAGGGTGCTGGATTCCCACATGGCTGACTATAATTCGAGTCCTAGACCTGGTGGCTTGCTTTTTCACTTTCTCTCTCTCTCCCCATCTCTGGTCAAAATTAAAATAAATAAATATGTGCATACTTAAACAGAATAATTATTTTTAAAAAGAAAAAAAGAATTATTTAGATTTATTTGTTATGTTTAAATTTTGTTACAGGGAATGTGTGCATGCATGAAAGAGAGAGAGAGAAAGAGAAAGCTGCCAGGTCCAGGACTTGAACTGTAGTCAGCCATGTGGGAGTCTACACTGTAAACCACCATGCCACCTGCCGGCCCCAAGGCTGAAGTTTCTTCATCTGTGACATATGGGGCTTCTATTGGGGGTGCACTTGTGCTTCCATCCCTGATGTCGAACTGCTTCTGTGAATTACTTTGCTCTTGATAAAAGAATCTGGTAGGGCTGGCTCTGAAGCCTGTTGGTTATGGCAGGTGGATCTCACAAGGCTGACTGCACAGTGCAAGTCCTGGTCCTGGC